CTTTTGCTCCTGTCCCAGATGGAAATCTGAAAAGGAAATTCAGACTATAAGAGCAACCAAAAATATATCATATGCAGAAGCAAGAGATTGATAGGCAACATTCAACCTGGTCCAAATCTGAGTTCTGTCAATGCAACAAAATCTGTTCGCTTAATAGCCATTCAGACATCACTTACCATTCAAACAAGGACTAAAACTGAAGTACCACAAAAAATTCCAAATAGCAATTTATCTGCCAGTACTAAACATACACCAACTCTTAAAAACCTGAAGTAATTAATATTAAGAAGTTCCCTTCAAATAGCATAAGCTCAAAAACAGTAAATTACAGTCATACCTCATAGAGAGTATGTTATCAGATACACTTGAATCCGAAATGGAATTAGAAGGATTAGCCCCACCACAAAGTCTTCTACCACGCCTAACAAAGAAACAGCATAAGCAAATTAAAGATTCGTGATGTCTATTTTAATCTCTTGGAAATGTCGCGGATTTAATCAAGGTCTAGTGAACATAAAAAACCTGATAGATTTTTATTACCCTGTCTGTGGTGGAGTGCAGGAGACACTGGTGAACGTGCAAGCGGAGGTATAGCTGTCCTCACCTCCCATGTTTGCCATTCAACTATCTTACCTTTGAACATGTCTCCAAGCTGTTGCGGTGCAAATCAATATGAGAATGCTTGTGACTGTACCATCTACATGCCTCCTAATGAAGTAATAGCTGAAAAGGAATTAGACAATTTGGTAGAACAGCTGCCTACTCCTTTCATTGTGATTGGAGATTTCAGTGGCCTTAATCATCTCTGGGTTAAAGGTGATATAAATTTTCAGGAAAAAAAATAGACCTCATTAGTGATTACTGCTTATGCCTCCCTAACCCACAAGTGCATGTGCTGGTTCCAACGGACCCGCCCGATTAAAGAAACCTTTCTAAAAACAACAAACTTATTTTTCCCAAGTGGTTGTGGTTCAGTGTAGTCTCCTCCAAGGACATCCTCTTTATGTTTCCAAAATTTGATTTGAAGTTTTTTTTTGATTGGATCAGATCTTTCAGATCCAGCACTCCAATTCGCATTGCTGTAACATAGTTCATTTTTGGTAGCACAGAAAGTTGCAAACGTCACGTAATTTTCCTTATAGGGAAGAAATGTTACGTTTGCAAATTTATTAGAAGATATGTCAACTGTTGCAGACTCCAGTGAAGAAACTGTTGATGAAAATTATAATGAAATTTTTAGTTCTCATGAAATTGCTAGTTTGATCCAGAAATCGAGATGCATTCTAAAAACAAAAATGAGAATGACATTTATTGCTTTATTGGAAAAGACCCCCCCCCCCCCCCCGGGAAAAAAAAAAAAAAAAAAAAAAGCCTACAGCTGATATTAGAACTCCTGCTCATAATATTATTTGTAAATTGCCTGGAATCATCGGTAAGGCAAAATATGTCCAGGTTTCAAATGAATCGTGGAAACTTTTACTTAAGTGAACAAATGCTGCTGAAAGTAGTCAGTTATACAAATATTTGTATTGCATCTGCCCACCAGCGGCCGAGCAGTAAAGTCACTGAATACTGGTAGTTTGGTCACAAATTCAAATCCCGCGAAAGGGCTGGCTGCATGGACACTTTTGTGGTTTTCCCCATGTTTAATGTGTATATGAGCCAGTTTCCCTTAGAAAGTCCTCCCCTTAGGCAGATAGCCCTGAAGGCTTTGCGATAATCACACACATTATATTGCATCTATTTCTGATAGCTTTCAAAGAAAGAGATGCTCTTCACACAACTGTAACTGAAGTTAGCGCGCTTTTATATGTCTTTCATATTTTTGTGACGTAAGTCATCTCATGTAAATTTGTGGGATCTGAGGGAACCAGATGGAACCAACTTGGAAATTTTTCACAAATTATGTCTACAAACATTTTCTTTTTTTTTTATCAAGATGTTTGCCTTTTGATGGCATAGGAACTCGTGTTGTTAAGAAAGAATTGGATAAACTTGCTCATATAAGAGAGATTTTTGAAGATTTTGCAAATAACTAACTGCCAGAAATATTACACTGCCAGTGAGTTCATAACAGTTAATGAAGTGGATTGATGAAGCTTTCCGAGGAAGATGTTCTTTTCAGGTATATTCCCAATAAATCTGAATGATGATTCCTGGATAACTTGAATAATAATATAATGAATTCCTAATAAAATCTGTCTTAATGTAATGTGTTTTACTATTCCTTAAAAAAATTTGATTTCATAAAAATATTATTAAAATTAAAATGTTTATTTTTATAATTTGCATATTTTTTAAGTTTGATCATGAAATTTTGCCATAAATCTCTTTTTTCTTGTGAATTTTTCTTCACTGGCCATCAGTAAAAATAGTTATTCCGAAGTTCTGTGAAAATTTTTTAACAGTTTCTTAGTTTAGGATCCAAAGATTTGAATAATCTCAGTATGTTGGTCCTTATGTTATTTGTATAGCGAAACAAAATTACTTTTTAAGCAAAACTCTAAATAAGTTAATAGCTTATTTTTAAATAATTATTCTTTCTGAAATAATTGTTTCTTTGCAGTGTATGTTGACATGTATCATTTAATTTATTCTTTCTAAAAGACTGCTTATGAGTTAAAGAAAATTCAATTTTCTTTTAAATAATGATTTGTAATTTACTCTCTTTTTTTTTTTTTTTTTTTTTTTATATGATTTATATGCGGACCAATGATTTATTTGACTTCTACTAAAATAAAACAGTAGTAATTATAAACGGAGAGATGTAAAGGAAATCAGAAAAAAAAATACTTGTTTTCTCTACCTGAAGAAAAAATGCTCAGTACGAGTTACAAATTTTTATTTTTGGGGGAACCTAACTTTTCTAAATATTAGATATGAAATGTATTTATGTGTATTTATATGGAATCGTGAATCACATATTCGTTAATATACTTCAAAAGTTTATTTATCTAAAAGCTGTCTTGTTGTTTTTGAAACAATATAAATTTGGACATGTGACTGTCGAAGGTTCATAAAATCTATCATGCAGCTCTGCTTCCTTGAAGTTTGGCCATCCCTGGTATACAGTATTGTGTGAAACGGCAAGTCTGTGTCTCGACATCTGTACATTGTAAACATTTTTTTCTTAAAAAGTAACATTTCTCTTGACTAGGTCTTTTCAAACTTTTCTGCCGCGTACACCTCTGTCATTATTGCTAGAAGACAATACTCTGGGCTTTTCCAAAATTTGAAATATACGCGTTTAGTTAGATGTAGATGATTTAATGTATTTTATATGCAACAAAACTTGTAGAAAATATTTATAAATGCCAAAACTTTAAAATACTGAAATTAGTTTTTTATTTTCATTAACTAAAGCTAAATACTTAACAGCTATGTAAAAGGCTGAGTGCATTTCGCCCTGTTTCAGAACCCCTACTGTGACTGAAAATTGGTCAAGCTGAGTTTTTGGTTATTTTTTTATTTATTGTTGATGACATTAGGACAGCTTTTCTTCTTTCGTTAATTCTAATTCATGCAGTTAATCATTTCTGCAAAATGTAATGATGTATTTTATTTTCTTATTCTACTGCTTAGAGATTAAATTCCTTTGATGTAAAATTCTAAGCTGCTAATCTACTTTCCACTGACACTTACCTCTTTTTCAACATGAGCTGTTTCATTGTATTCATGCTTTCGTTTCTGTAAAGTAAAAGCAAAGTATCATTTGATGTATAGTCACATTTGCCATCAATTTTACTGTTTCAATTGCTGGGTCATTTACTCTACTGTACCTCTGTGCTCTAAAGTGAAAACGTTGTTTAGAACTGTTTTATATGAATTCATCTATGCCAATTAAATGAGAAGCTCTTAAAAGCTTGTGGCAGATGAGCTGTGAAATACTTCTGCAGCTTTAGAGGAACAAAATTCTACAAAGCTGTGTACGATTTTAAGATGTTCCAGAAGTTAATTTGTGTTTGTTCATTATTTAGAAAGGTTATTTTAGAAAATTCACAAATATCAAAACAAAAATTAACTGAAACAAAGAGGAAAGGTAATGAAATTGTACAAAATGTTTATACGGAACAATGATGAGAGCAGCAAAAGTAAATACAGAACAATGATGAGAGCAGCAAAAGTAAATACAGAACAATGATGAGAGCAGCAAAAGTAATTAGAAATAAGTAGTATAAAATGCATGTTAACATCTTTCCTCTAGCCATTATTTAGCAAAATTAAAATAACTCCCACCTAATTCCTCTGTAATTTAAATATATGTCTTGTTACATTTACCAGAACCTCCCATCTCCACTTTGACAACGAAGATTTTTTCCCAATATAGGCAATGTACCATTGTTTGTAGGCTAGTAAATTATGTTTTGATAATTTTATTATATGAATGAAATATTTTATTACCTCATATGGCATTCACCTGTGGACCTCAATGAAAATTTTGGAATTGTAAAAAAGGGATGATAGACCTAAAACTGTTTAAATGTTCTCACTTCAACTGTAATTACAGCTGTAATCTAATTGTATCAACTTTGCATGCCTCTCCTCTAGCCCCAAAATGGCCATTCTTTATAAAGCTACACAAGTATTTCATTTAAGGTTTGTTTTAAATCCGCTGTGTGGATTTGCATATCTTCTTTGTAGCTTTCCCCAATATGTAATTTAGATATCCATGTAGGTTTTTCTATGAAAGTTTGTCATGATGGAAATCCTACTTCTAATCAGGCATGAGCCATTGACAATTTTGAAGTTTTCTCAATTTTATATTTTCTAGCAATTTGTGATTTGATTGTTACAAGTACTCAATAAATTATTTAAAAACTTTGTGCTGTTTACTTTTGTAATATTGATGTGTAAACTTAATCTGACTAATCATTGAGTATGTAATATGATGTTTATGTCTGTAAATTATGGATAAGTTCTGTGAATGTGGTTTTGTGATGTACAAAAATTACTTTTATATTATTAGGTCGTGTAAACAACTATCATTTTAACTGTTTCAGATGGATCCTGCTCTTGAAGGCTTGATGAATGAGATTCTTGAGGGACATGAAAATTCTGGTGATAATGAAGATCAAATTCCATCTGGTAACTTCAAATAACTTTATGATGCTAAAATGCAATTTTTTAAAGCAGCTTTGTTTTCATATTATTTGAATTTCTGTTAAAAGAGATAACCATTTGTATATTTTATTAGCCATTTAGTTTTCACACTTTTGCATTGAATACAAATATATTTAGTTCTAATTTATTTTTGTAGATACCAGTGTTGAGGCAGGAGAACAAGACCTTACTGTTACTGTTGAAATGGGAGATCATTCCAGTGCACCAACAGGATCTCGCCACTCAAATTCCTTTGGAAATCAAACACAAGGTAAGGATTGAAATTTATATCAGAATAAGAGTTGCAGATATTAAATTTTGAGTACAGTTTGAAATTGTACACCTTTAGTAACAAATTGATAAGAAATTCTACTTACTTTTATTACATATTGTAAATAAATTACACTTAGTAAATGATCAAAACAATTGACACAAGTATACTGCTGTAAAAGTTGTGTTGAAGATGCACATCCTTTAAATTTGGGTGAATGTTGCGTGACTTAAAAAAATGATCTTTTCAAGAAGCATTCATAGTACACATCACCTTCCCATTTCACATGGGAAAATGCCTTAGTATTTTATTAAGATTTATTATAAATTATGAAGCTTAATAAAGTGTTGCACCATAATTAGATTCTTTTGCATCTATAATCTTTCTAGACCCAAAATGGAAACTAACTAAAATAAACTAATGAAAACCAAAGAAATTTATGCTTTGCCATGAAGTGACTTGTTACTCATGAGTATCGTGCTGAAAGACATATGCTATTTTGTGTTCCCAAATTTGTTGTTCAAAGAGGGCAAAGTCAAAATCTGCATTTTTGCCTCAAATCCCCTGCACACTGGAAAAAGAAAAATTGTGTGTGAATGCTGAACTGATTTGCAAATATTTAATGCAGTTTAATTCAGAGATTAGTAAATACTGTATATGGAAATTCGACTGCAACCCAAAATCACAAGCTGTGTATGTTAAACACAAATGTTTGTTTAAATTTGTGTGCAAGGCATATATGTATGCTTATACATGTGTACATGCATGTTCATGGTGTAGCATGTTTCATGGGAATACATGTGACAAACAGGGTAAGAGCAAATGTAAAGGTATTACACAAGTGCAGAAATACAGTACAAAATTCATAATCCCTCACATAGCAAAAAACATTCTTGGGATATCCCGAGGATGTTGCTCGCGGGATATGCGCACATCCTCAGGACATCCCGGAATATCCCGCAAACCTCCTAACACCTCCTCCCGAGTGCTTAATGTTACATCCCAGGATATCCTCAGGACATCCTAACAAAGTCCCATTGACAGCATGTGGGATGTTATTAAGATATAAACTCCTACTTACTACATCCCCGGGATATCCCACTAACCTCCTAAACACATCCCATTATATCCTAAAAACAGCCTATCTATGTCCCATTGACAGCATATGGGATGTTATTAGGATTTAAAGTCCTGCTTACTACATCCTCAGGACATCCCGTAATATCCCAGTTTCCTCCTAAACTCATCCTGAGTGCTTAATGTCACATCCCAGTATATCTTTAGGACATCCTATCTAGGTCCCACCGATAGCGTATGGGATGTTATCAGGATTTGAAATACTAGTTACAATATCCCTTTAACCTCTTAAATATATACTCTCAACTGCTTAGTGTCACATCCCAGTATATAACAGAGGAATCTTCCAGTGAAAGTATATGAAGGTGTTGTGATGATCTAAAACCTACGTATTTTACACAGATAGTCTCAAATCCTTCTCCTATGGTTACTATGGAAAAATCAGAAATGTTGAAAATATTTATACAACTTATTTTGGTATTTAAATCTGAATTTGTGAATATATTAAAACTGAGCAAGGAAATTAAAATGAATTATTAATACAAAATATTAAAACTGAAAATTTTGCTTTTATTTTTAAGATATTAAAAATCTTTCGATAATTTTTAAACATCCAATAGCCCCCAAATTGAATTATTCATAATTAAATTATTTTACAAAAGCAGTTTCTAATTTCAGTTAATTTGTATTAAAAATTCAGTAATAAAATTAGCCATTTAATAATTTTTACATAAATGAATCATCTTTCTTTAAAGCGTGTTTTTAGGAATTTATAGTGTTTCGATGACATTGTTGGGAGATTGTTAAAAGGAATAAATTGTAATTTTAAAACTAAATCAATTCCTAGCCTCAGAATAAATAAATATGTTTTTGTAACATGATAATGCTGTAGGATTTTTTACATATTTAATATTTAGTTGTAAAAGTGTGACATTATGTTAACAATTCTTTGCATCATTCAAAAGGTAACTCAAGAAGCTCTTCTAAAATAATATCTTTCTGCTCACACAATTAAAAAAAAAATCTGAGAGGCCTCAGATTTTAGCAGTCACTCAAAAAGGCTAAAAGTTGATGAATGCATAGATTATCAATACAGTTGGGGCAGTGGAAATAGCAAAACATTTTATAAGATACTGACCCAGAAAGTTATATATCTTCTATATATTTGAAAAATGAAGAAATATATCATGCAATTATGTAAACATATTTAATGTTTTCAATTAGATATATCATGAATTAAATGCATTTTAAATCAATCAGATTAAAAATTTAAAAAAGCATTGTTAAGAACTGTGTGTATTACTTTTAAATAGCTTGGCTTGTTAATCAATAATAGATTAGATTTTAAAGGTAAACATGTTAAATTTTGCCAAATGGCAAGACTTGAATGAAAAGCAAAACAAGTTTACGATTGACGATATGAAGTCACATTTCGAGACTAATAGCCTTTTCGGATTAAAAAAAAAGTTCCTGAAAATAATTTGCAATGGTTCATTGGTATTATTTTATGGAAAATTCAGTAAAATAAAATTAACCAGTTGAAATCAGCACCAAATTAAACTTTGTAAATTCTAGCGAATGTTAAAGGTTATCTCATCCAGAATTTTATTACTAACCATTCACTTCAGAGCAAAATAAAACAGTAATTGACATTTATATGACAATCAATATCTAAAATTTAAATCTGCATTTTATGCAACATAAAAAAACTCCAAAAGATCTACTGTTTACCATGCAATTAAGGCACTTTATTCTGCAATCAACTTTACCAATTATTAACACTTCTAAGTATATTCAGTTTACTCTTTCTGCTCAATATATGCTGTGTAAAATTTTCCATAAATTTATTAATTCATTTTATTTTGAGGTGAGCTTTTATTCAACTCTCAGTGTCGAAGAGAATGTTTAGTTCATTTTTTATTCGGTCTTAAAAGATAAATCAAAATACGTGGATTTATGTACGTGTATTTATGAATCAAAATACATGAGAAATCACAGCGAGAAAAGCACTGCTACCTTAAACTGTGATTACATATAACAAATGCAGTGAATTATAGTTAAAAAATAGTGAAAATATTTATATTTCTGTACTATTTCATATATAACATTTTCAGTTTCGCATATGTGGCAGTTTGAGATTTTTTTTTTTTTTTCATATACCAATTTTTTTTTTTAATGTCTAAAAATTTTTGCATTTTCAAGGAAAGCTTATTCTTTCACCTTTAGTATATAAGTAATGGTAATTTACCAGATAAAATTACTTAATGGGGAATATAGAAAAATATCTAACCACTTACCTTTGTGACTTCATCTGCAGAGAGACTAAAAAAGTAGTTCAGCTAAATCTGTTATAATAAATATTTATAATAATGCTAAATCCTATAATACCTATTAATATGACAAATTTTTGTAAACATATTTATTTGGATGAAAAATAAACACATTCAGAAATTTATGGCACTATATTATGATTAACAGAGGAAAAACACTTTTCAAAATTCAAAATAGTTTTTATTAATCCAATTTATCACATGTTCTTTGAATTCCTGAAAAACAATCTTATATCCATGTATTCTTATGTATCTAAGAACTGATAAACTGGATCTGTGCCATTGCCTTTCACAGCACCTAAAATAAAAAAACACTCACAATTACTATACGTGAATATAATTCATAATTAAATTTTAAAAAATGACTATTAGAATGCAAATTAAAGGAAGCATTTAAAATATTTTAACATTTAGTACCTATAAACAGAGTAGCAATTATTTGATTTTCGATTATAGTAAAATAAACATGGGGGATGCCTTTTAAAATTTTTTATGTCAGAAAATAAACTCAAACCACCAGCTGAACATATGAGCAGTTTTATCAATCAGCCACTGGTAGGTAACCTGGATACCGAATCAACATATAAAGTTGCCAAGATAAAGAGAGAAACAAAATTATGATAATCACATCTTACCTAATCATAAAACTATTTTAAATTTAATGTGTAGGCAAGTCCAAAAAGAGTGAGAATGAATTTATTTTGCAACACAAAGTAAAGTTGTCTTGCAGGAGCAAAAAAAAAAAAAAAAAAAAACTTGTCTCATGAGATTGGCAAGTAAAAAATAATTAACTGCATCTGGTAACATTTATCTGACAACACATAAGTAATTGTTAGCTACGTGCAAAAAATAAAATCTGATCATGATAAGCAATATGCAGCTTTAAACTTTTGAATTTAACTGCAGAAATCTACCAAAGAAGTATATTTTATGTTGTAATAGTAGTAAATGAAGATGTGGTTAATCTTTACTCTATGGTACACCTTGGTTTCTGTCTGAAAAAAATCGCAAAGTGGTATTGGTTGTTTGTGAAATGTGGAAACCCATTGTGTCAAATAAGTTTTTCGGTAACCCTAATGTTGATAATGTTGTCGAACGTAGCCTTTGGGGGAAAAAAAAACTTTTTTTTGGTCAATAAAAAGGAGTTATTTCTGCAAATATTGCCAACGTGTTGTGATAAATTTAGTTTTGGGCTATTTTTTGTAATAGTAAACCTTTTGTACGGACCCAGGTTTTTGGTTCTTACCATTCTTTTCAATTGCTGTGTTTGGTTGCACGGAAGTGGTATGGTCTTGTATTTTGAACATGCTATTATTTTGGTGTGGGTACCATCGTTTGAGTATGTCTGAGGTGACTAAGAGACGAAAAATTTAATTGAATTGCTTACCTGGAGGATGGAGGAGATGGTGGTGGGAAGCCTAAACGTATGCATGTGAAAAAAAAGGTATGTTAAAAAAATGACGTTTCATTTATTTATTCGTCTCTGTGTGTTAATTTTTGTTAGAAGATTTGTTGTTTAATGTTTTTATGTTAGGAAATATGTATTTTTTGTAACTTATTCCTCTTTCTTTGTGTATTTTTGGTTGTCTCTGT